TTTTATATATTAAATATGAAGACATTTGCAATTCATTCTTAAATCTTATTGGAAGTATTTTAATTTGGGGAGGTAAAGAGGCAAAAGATTCGACAGGGCTATTATGATATAATCCAGTCCCTTTATATATATTTATCTCCTAGTTACAGGTTCTACCAAAATATATATTGTAGTGTTTTGGCAGTTTAAAAGTTCTTTGGACATTAATAGTAATATTATCCTTCATAATACATGCAGTTTTCAATATATACTTATTTAGTGAAGGAAAAGAAAATTGTCTTATTAAAATGTCAAATAAGAAACATGAAGTGCTAATGAATTCTGAAAAATGAAATTATTTAAATTTCATCTTGCCACATTGCCTTTTATTCTTTATTTTTTCTGTATTGCTTTCATTTATTTATTTTGGCTGGAAAGAAATTAAAATTTTACTATTTAGCATATATAGTTATGAATAAGCTGCTCATTGGTGCATACCTGTGATCCTAGCTGACTGGGAAGCTGGGGCAAGGAGTTCATGACATGATGAGACATTATTTAAAAAAACATACCCTAGCCTATCTCTTTCTCCTTCCAACATTTTCTTTCTCTGTATCTCATGAAAAAAATGTTATTTTGTTTTATTTTTTAATGAAAGATGAGTAATACAGGGCTTAGCAACCCCACTCCTTGGGGATATAATTAGCTAGCTTGTTTACACATACACTGTTGAGTTTATAAATGTCTATACACAGATATTGTTGGTTACCATGGACTGGCCTTGTCTGCAGTGGATTCCCAATGTGTTTTTACGCATATATTCAGCATTTCCAGAGCTCTTGCTGGCTATCATTTAATTAGGATGCAAACTGTGGGAAATAAATTTAAATATATCTGCAATTAGAATGAAAGAGTTTAAACATGGATGACTCACAGTTTATAGCATCACATTAATTTATGCATACTACCTCAAGTCATTTGTAGCAGAAATATTCAAAATCAATAATTATAGCTTCGGATTATGCCCTTGCTCCTAGGGAATAAAATGATCTCTTCTGAAAAGTCAACCTGTTGTTTAATAGTTTTCCTTTTAAGATTGAATGCCAATTACATTGGCGTAAATTCTGGCTAGTTTTAGTATGGCCTCTGGCATGCAATGGAGAAGTTAAGGGTATAAGATTTTAAAGAGAAAAATAAACCTAAATCAACTACTTTAAAATATTCAAGGTACTATTCCAATGCCAAGCTGAAACAGACTTACACTCTTCAGGTATGGTTAACAGCCATGATTTCCTTTCTATGGTTATACCTATAGGACATATCTACATCAGGTAAGGCTCAAAGATTTGGCATTCGTAAGCATGTGTTCAGTGACTGGCCTTATGTATCAATAAATAGATGAACTTTTCTTCAGAAAGCATAAGTAAAGAAGGACATGAATGAAACTCAGAACATATTAACTTTTAAAAATAGGCAGGGAGGTGGGCTGGGGAAAGACAGGAGGAAGGTATTACAAAGGGACCAAGTATATTTGGAGAGTGATGATATGTTCATTTTCTTGATTGTGCTGATGGTTTCGTGGTGCATACTTATGACAAAACTTATCAGATTGAACTTCTTCAACAGTTTATTTTAGGTCACGTATACTTCAATAAAGCTCTTTGAAAAATGAGCCCATGAATGAACACGTAAACATTATATGAGTACAAAATGAAAAGGAAAAGTCCTTCTGAAGCAGTCTAGCAGTCAGACAATTCTGAAATTTTAACATTTTCAGCCGTTGTGATATTAAGAAAGGCTTTTAACAATCTGGTCAAGCGCTGAGTCATAGGGATGTCTGCTTGAGAAATGGCCAAATGAGAGCCCGTGAATGGATATTTGATAGACTCAAGCTCATTATTCAGGGGAAAGCAGTTGACTCTGATAGACTGTAATGATAAATGATTTGCATGTGCTTGTATCTTGTACCTACAAATACCAAGAACATGTTGAGCTTTTCGAGATAGTTGGATGTAGATACTTTCCGACTGTCTCCCTATAACCAGTTACAGAAATAAACTCCCTCCTTCTCCAAAAATAAAATAAAATAAGACAGAGTTTTGAGATAGTTGGATGGAGATACTTTCTGTCTCCCTATAACCAGTTACAGAAATAAACTCCCTCCTTCTCCAAAAATAAAATAAAATAAGACAGAAAAATACCAGAAATAGGAGAGGTGGGAGGAAATTAAGAAAAAAAAATAGAAAGTAAATAATATCAGAAAAACAAAAGTGTAATGTTTCATAGAGGGCCTACATAGACAAATCAAATACTAAGGAATCATCAAAATATAAAGCCTGAAATATAAGTGCAGCACATAATAATTAATATTTCTTTAACTTTCTTACCGCAGCATTAGAGGAGCAGTCAAACTGAGTTGAGATACTAAAGACCCATGAACATTAAAAAGAAGAAATAAATAGCAATTTATTTTTCTTTCAAGATTTCACCTGTGGATGTAGAGAAAGACAGTCTCTAGAGTATAACTCAGAATTAAAAATAAAATGTGTTTTCTAAAGGTATGAACGGTCTGACCTCGCTCAGAAGATGAGGAGGCAACATTAGATAAGGAGAGGTAAAGACCATGGGAGGAGAATATAATTGATCCTCAGCAGAGTGGTAAAGATGTGTTTACCCAGAATTTATTTAGCATAGTACCAAGAACACATTTTCTTCCCAACAGAATCTATAAGGAAAGAAGATCTATTGGGTTGTTGGAAAAGTCATGACGTTTTTCTATGTAAAAATGCATCATGACTTTTCTGACAACCCATATAATTTATATAGGCATTTGTGTAGAACTGGGTCAGAAACTTAAATAATATATACCTAAACCTTTCCTTTATCTTTATAAAATATAAAATCAAGACATCTGAGTGGATTGAAATACAGTTTCCATTGATAAACTCAATAGGGGAATTTTTATTTTTTTAATCAGAAACTGGGACAGAAGAAAATGAGGAATTCTGTATAATAGATTGTGAAGATTCCTGAGAACCTAACTGAGATTGGAAACAATTTTGGACAATACAGTCCTCTGATGCAATTTTAGCATATTTATGAAGCAGATAATTGGACACAGAGCGTTACTGATTTTCTAATTATTTTCCAATTCATAAGCAAATGACAGACAAATATATACCAATGGCATTCTAAATATTTATATCAACTGTTTTCTTAAACAAACAAAACACTTAATTTGTTGCTTCTCTAAAAATATACTATCCAAAAACATCAATATGCTACTGAAAAGTATTGATATTTTTTCTTTCAAGTAGACAAGCAGTTGGGAGAAACAAAGAAAAATGTCAAAAATTATTCTGAAATATATATAAAAAATGTGTATGAATTGTGTACATATATGTATACAAAATATTTCCTTGCAGCAGTAACTCTGTTTTGCCAAGCATTCTATGTGTTTGTTGGGGCACACTTTTAACATTCCTAAAAGAGTTTACAACCCTGTCTTAGCCTTCACTTCCTGCATTCACATAGATTCAAGGTCATCTAGCAATGATATTATACATGTCTCAGTTTTTCTGGGAGTGTGCATGCATATATTCCAGAATCCCTTGAGCCTCATATTGGTGTCACATCCTGTTTGACTGGAAGAGCCAAAATGTTAAACTGTTGTCATTGACTTAACAAATACTCTGTGAGAAAAAGGCTGTTGGCACTTAGAGAGCTTTGAGTCAGGTCAGATGAAAACACACATGT